GTATAAATGCCCTCCAGCAGGTCTGGAATGTTCCTGGTTCTCCATGACTGGAGGGAGAATGTGATGTTTTTCTTTTTTTCTCCCTTGATCGAAACGAAACGTCTAAACCGTCCAAGCTGCAAAAGATCCAACCCCAGCGATAAAGCGAACATCCCTCCCGCATCTCGCTGGTGTTACTGAATCTGATTGTATGCTCTTCGCCGTCAAAGCTGACTCTCTGAAAGCTTCTCTGAGGCCGAAAGGCAGACGCCCTGACAGATGCTACAACCAAAGTGATGATATCTGAGCTCCTGTTCTACCTGAGGACGTTCGCTCCTGGTAAACCAAACACAGAACACAGAAATACCTGTTGACAGTTGCTGTCCTGAGTTGTAAGTGATGGTAATGAGAGTCCATATGGCTGATTGTGCTCATTATGTTTCTGCTCTCTCAGTTTCAGCAATAACCAGGGGCAAAAAAGCAAAAATGGCCCCATGTTGAACATTTTTGCCCCCTTAATGCACACAGGTGTCAGAAAAACACCCAGAATAATGTGTTAAAATGTTAAAATAACAACTTATCAAAGTGGGCCTTTTTTACCTTGTAACTTCATATCTCAGGTAATATTAACTAGGGATGTTCATGGGTACTCAAGTACTCCGTTAACCCTTTGAAGTGCCAGCATTCGAACACTGAAATCGTTGTTTGGGTATTGGTTCCATTTCATCGCATGAAGACATGCTTTTGTGAGTAAGGATGTTCTACTTCACTCCTCTGAAACCTGAGTGCCTGAACATGAGCGTGTTGCTAAGGACGTGACTGAGAAAGCAGAGATAACACAGCCTTATCACTAACTAGGCTAATTACTTTAGCTGATGTTAGCTAGATAACATCAAATACCATGTTGGCACATCCTCCACTGAGGAGAGAATACCTGATGTGTAGAAGTCCACATCAGCATCCACTGTGACACTGCTAGCTCTGTTAGCTCGTCAGCTCATCCGAAGAGGCAGTCTCTGTTACTCATCCAACACCGAAGCCTGCCTCAGCTGTTTAAGCAGTAAACCTGAGAGGGAGTGTTATCGCGAAATAACATCACGGCTGTGATTTGGTCGCCGTAGATCATCACAGCCGTGATGTTATTGGCGATAACACACTCCTCGAGTGTTCTATTGCTTTAATACAACAGTTAAATAAATACAGTAATAAATTAATAAACTGGGCCGTGAACGCGGCGTTTAATATGTTTTAATGTTCGCAGTTCCTTCACCAAATTATAGTTCCTTAACGAGCAGCTTGTTGCTACGTCAGAGTAACGAGCTCCGCCCACTCGCTGCACAGTCTGCTGTAAGCCCCGCCTTTTGAAGTACGGACTGAGCCATAAAACTGCCGCAATATCAAGTTCAGCTCAGTTTTGTCAGTTTTTGCCAGATCAGTATTAATGTGTTTTGTTCCAGCCAGTCTGTAAAGCATCTTACAGCCCGTTTAGTTTGGCGAATGGTGTTGGGTTCATTTCTGGCTGATTCCAGGTTGTTCAGCTGTTTTTCTGTCACAGCTGCCGACTGAAAAGCTGCTCAGTGGTGATGACAGTTTGGGAATTTAGTGTCGTCTCATCTTCAGAGTCTGACCAAATCGGCTGTCGGTCAATGTGATCTTAAGTGTCCATTTTCTGTTTGCGGTGAAGTAAGAAGTAAAAACGTTTAAATGTCTTGAGCGTCTCCTACAGCTGTCAAAGTCGTTGCTTAGCAACGGCGTCTCAGCGCAGTGATACAGTGTGAAAAACCGTCACATTGCTCAGCCTCATATGTTGTGTTGTGCCTGATGAGGTCAAATATAGTTTTCCTCTTATTGCTGCGCACATTTATCAAACCCGTTTGTTCTGTGTTAATAAACGTGGTACTGTCCGTTTTCCCTTAGCAAAAATCATTTTTGTTTATTTTTACAAATGCAGTGTTTCCAAACTTTTGTCCGGTAGTGTAGTTACCTTTATAACGTCCGAGCAGCTATTTTGATTCGGGCTTGTGCAGAAGCTTTTACAACATCACTAGTCTGTACTTTGGTGGATATAATCATCTCTGCTCAGAAGAGATGATTGACGGTCCTGAAAACCAGCAAGTGAAACGAGTGATTGTTCAGAGGGCTGTAGACATACATATGGCTCCAATCAGCTGGTTTACAGTGCGAGGCGTGCCACTTTAAGCTGAAGGAAGGGCTGAATGTTTTGATGACCGCAAGGTCGCTGCTATTCTCAGCCCGTCTCGAGGAGCAGATTACATGACTTCACTTTAACCTCTGGACACCAGTTCAGTTTGAAGGCCCTCCATGCTATAAGGAGGGATTACGCAAGGAAACGCCATCTCTCTCGCCTGACCGTCCCGTCGTTATTCTCAGGAAGGGACTGAGTTATGGCTCTTTTGTGGTCCTGCAAACCTCAGTAGGGCTTTAGTGTGGTGTTAACACCTTCTGTCTGTCATGGTTTGTATACGTGACCCTGTAGCAGATGTGAGAAGACCGGTTTATCTGAGTACTAGCTAGTTTTTATTGGCTGACTCTGATGGACACGTGGACTCATTCATCAAAGTTGCGAAAAATGTAAGCGCCTTAAATGACTTCAATGAAGTACTCTGCGTCTGATTCATCAAACTTTCATACGATGTGGAAAAAAGCAGAGATTTGAGAGATTCACAAATGATGAATTAGCTTCGGCGCGTGAAATCAAGCGCCAGCCTAGCAGCACCTCATTTACACATCATTTACTAATTCGTGCAGATGTTCCGGTTGCGAGCCCATGAAATAGCAGCATAGTGCTTGTAGGTGGAGTTTGAGGTTGCACTGCTCCCCCTGCTGACCAAACTTTATAGTGTTAAATTTACAACCAATGGAAAGAATAAAATGTAAAATAAACAAAACGACTTAGTTTAAGTTTGGGATGATGTAATTTTTTTCTGTAAAGTAACATACCTATATTTGTTTATTTTGTGGGCGGAGTCAGTAGTACAAAAACAAACACAGTGTAATACTGTGTGATTTTAAGTGAAACATAGAATAGTTGCCGCATTTGTACAAACATGCATGTAAAATAAGTACATCTGCTTTAGTACTGGATTGCCATGTGGATAAATTATTAGCATTATTGTTATTTTCTATTTTAATGAATAATAAAACCGTTGGTGAAATTCGTTTGCACTCTTTTTATGATCAATTTTGACCAAACTCAGCTTTGATGAATGAGGGCTAGTGTTACAGCAGGTCTGCGTTGCCTTGTTAGATTCTTACTTAGTCTAGTTTTGCCAATAAGACAGACATGGACTGAAGAATGTTTGCCAGATGTGCACATATTCATCTTTCCAACAAAAGTCCTGAACTGCAGACGTTACGTTTGACTCGGATTTTAGAGATTTAGGATGGAAAGGCTGTCCATCAGCCTGATCGAAAGCATTCTGGTTTTAATATTTCAGTCTGGTATGGAAATAAAGCAAAAGAACAGCCTGTCGGGAAAATATTGGATGACCTATATAAATGCAGCTGTATACAGAAAGGCGCCGACTGTCCTATTTGAAATGATGATTGACATTAATTAGACAGGTCCTGTACTCGGAGTTTGATTTGCATGTCTAGGTTCCAGAGAACTTCTAACGAAAATGCCTTTTGTCACTAGAGCAGCATAAATCATACAAATTGTATTTAACATAATTTGAAAACTACCTGAATAGGACCTTCACAAGCCATGCATAAGCATGAATAACACAATAGGTGGGTGTTCACGAGCTGCTTATGTCAGACACACATGATGTTTTTGGAATAAATGACATTGTGTTGATGCAGGGGCCCTTAAACTAGAGTGAAGGACATGTGTTCCCCTTATAAAGCTGTTATAAAGAGGTAGAGGCCTGATTAAGAACACCAGATACTACCAGTTCTTTGAAAGAAGCCGCCTTAAACTAAAACAATAAATATATGTATGAAGAGCATCACTTGAGTTTGAGGATCTTTTGTACACACCCTTTGATCTGCTAAGCTCCCTTACTGGAGTATGATGCTTCATAACAGTGTTATAAATGTAACAAATGTACTTTGCATTAGTTTTTGTTAAATACTGAATAAAAAATGAAGTGTTAACTTTCTAAAACACGTTATTTGGTGCTCGTCTATTCAGTACGGAATGAAGTCCTACATCTGTTACGCTTTTGTTTTTTATATCGTTGTTGTCGGGCAAAACCTTGTATGTCTATTTTTGTTTTCTGTTTTTTATTATAATTTGAAAAAGGCAGTTGCCCTTCAAGTTATGTCATAATTTAATGATGAACGGACCAACAGAAAGGGTCCAAAATTACTTGGACAATGATATTTCTCCATTTACTTCCAATGTTTTTGTTGTCCTGTAAAGTTACGGTTTCAGAGATACGAGGTTTTGTTTCGACAGCAGCTGTATGTATTATCGTGCGTTCGTCTGCACATTTACTGTTCATTTGATTAATTTAACATATGGGGGGTCATAAAATATGGGCTGTGCAGAAGTTCTTGCACATTTTATATTCTGTTTCCAACAAGTTAAGCAAATAAATTTTAAATATTTGGTTGGTGTGTACGACTGTATAGGTCTTTCAGCAGTCTGTCGGTGTAGAACGAGAACTTCTGCTTTTCTCGTTTGTCTCCAGGGCTTCTTACGATTAAACGCCTGATTTAATGTCCACTTGTCTCTTTTAAAGGAGAAAGAGTTCAGAAACTCAGTGGTCTTTCATTAATACATTGAGAGGATTGAGATTTGCCTGATGAGACCGGAGTGAAGCTGATCTTAAGACATTTTTCCTTTGGCTTGTGTTTGCTGTGCCTGGTGCGGTCAAAGATTTCTTGTCCTGGCTGGACAATAAAGTTGTTGAGTTTATTTCAGTGTTTTCAGGAAGTTACGTTGGGCAAGAAAGCTTGGCCAGCCGCAGCCTCTTGTCTGCTGCTCGCATTGTTGCTTTTATGACGGTGTGGGAGGGAGAAGGCTGACCCGTGTCTTTCTTTTGTGTCCGCAGGGTCGAGAGGGCGACCGAGGAGCATTCCAGAAGCAACAGGGGGTCTGGAGTGGACGGGAGCGCGTACTCTGATCAGCCAGCGCCGCATAAAGATGGACACTACTAGATCTTCCATGTGGTGGAATGGGCTGTGGCAAAGATGTGTGTTGCCATGGTGATTATCCACACTAAAACACTGGACAAGAAGGGTGTGGATGATGTAACGTCCAGAGAGTCAACCTTGGAGCTGGTAAGACCGGCTTGAGCCGCCTGATTGCAAATCGATTGTTTATGAAATGAGACAATAGCGTATCTGACGACGTCCTCATTACGCGGAATCCAACTTCCTGCCAGCACAGCCTCTATGAATGAGGCCCTTTTTCCTGGAATGAGTAGATATGATTACACAGGATTCCTTTCCAGTTTACAGAACGTAGCTAATGGAGTTTACTTTTCCGTGAGTCCAGCTAGCTGGCATTGTTGTCCCAAATCGCAGGAAGTGAGGTCGTACGTTGCAAATCACCATCATATGATCAACCGAAGGGATGTTTTTGTTAGATTTCGCTGTAAAAGTGTGGAGTTGGGTTTGAGTTTGAATGCAAAAATCTGAATTTGAATGATTATTTGGAATCTGAAAATAAATTCTGAGCTGAAATTCAGTTTTAAGGGTTTTAAGAGCAAAAATAGAAATTTTTATTCCATTAAATAGAGTACAAAAAAAACAGACACAAACCGAGCAAACGTTTCAGCTGAGCTGAACACTGATGATAGCAAGAAGCTCAGATGTTTGCTCGGTACGTGTTTTTTTTTGTGCTCTATTTAATGGAATAAAAATGTATATTTTTGCTAGACTTGTCTTGCTTTAACAGTGTGCAGGCAAAACTCTTTCCACTCCATTTAATTCAGATTTTTCAAGCTCCCGTAGCAATCTACTTTTTATGGAATGCATCATTAATTTCTGTTCGTTCCAAGGTTTGTAAGAGAGCAGTGTGAAATGTGAAATTATGTAAATTTTGCAGTAGATGACCATTCATGGAATTAAACATCTAAAATACGTCACTAAAAACCATTCAGATTTTCTATTAATATCAATGCAAAGATTCTGAATTTCAGTGTTATTTTGAATCTGAAATTGATTTCTGAACTGAAACTGGACTTTAAGGTTTGCGAGAGAGCAGTATTAAATCTGAAACTGAACTTTATGCCTGATGATGTACAGCTGAACGTCTGAAGTTTAATTTCTAAAAAGCATTCAGTCTTTTAGATTCATTTTTTAAATTAGATCCAGTGTCTCACAGAGAAAAGCAGTCAAACACTGATTCTGTTCAGCACATCCGTTCTTGTTCTTCGCTGACAGACTGCTGAATGTCCTATATGCTTTCATACATATCCTCTACAGGAAAAGACTTAAATATGGCATTTTTCTGCAAATTTCACTGCACAATTACTGTTTATTTGCTGAGTTTAACATATTGGGTGAAAACAAAACATAAAATGTGCCATAACTTTTTTACAGGCCACATTTTTCATAGTATTTTATGTTAAAATCAGCAAATAAGGTGTATTTCTGCATTTAAATATGCAGAAGAATTCACTATATATATATATATATATATATATATATATATATATATATATATTATATATATATATATATATATAAAAAAATATAAAAAATAAGTGAGAACAGTCGAACACAGATTCACTTTGGCGGCAGGTTATAAAGCTTGTTTTATAACAGAAGTTGGAGCGGAGCGTTTTTTGACACCAGGTGCAAGTGTGAAACAGCGTGAATGTATTTTGCAGAGGCTTCTAGATGCATCAACACCAACAGTGCCGACGTGCCTGATAGACTCTCACTGTTAGTGTCAGTCAGGTGAGACACAAGCCGAGCAAACGAGCAAAAAGTTGCTGCTGAAACCTGTGCTGTGTCTGAATGGCCCCCTAATCACTAAACCCTACATCGGAAAACCTGTATCACTACATAGCGCACCATTATAGTGAACAGAACTGGTGATGGTAGTAAATGATTTCGGACGCTACGTCATTCAGCTTTGCTCATTACTGTGCGACAGCAAGTTCCGTCGCATAAACATTATAAACGCCCTGCAGTCGGTCCACTATAACCTCTGAGTCTGACCGCACTCAGGAGAAGAGCTCTTACACCTCTAACAGGTCTGAGAGGCTCTGTGGAGACGCTGCTGTTGTAGCTGGGCTCAGTAATCCTGCTCAGAGAAGCTGTGCGTGAACCTTCAAACAAGGCAGTGTATTGTGGGTATCCCCTATCCCAGGGGTCGAAAGCCCAGATGTTAAGAAGAGCCATTTTACCCTTTTAATAAAAATCAAACCACCTTGGGAGCCACGACACTTTATGTCCAGTTTACCATCTGTAAATCTGTCTCAGTCTGTGCTGATGTACTAGTATAGGATAAAAAATGTAATATAAACAAAACGCAGGCTCACTTTGCTCTGCTTTAAGCTTTAGCTCAGCCGCTTTTCTCGCATCTCTGGCAGGAAACTTTTTCAAAAGTAGAACAGTTTTTTGTAAAATGTCTCTCAGCGTTTGATTTTTTACAAGGCTGAAGTCGCTTCTCATTCGCCAGCTTTTTGTTCAAATTCAAATTTTCCCATTCCACCTTAAATGGTACCTGAGGCGCCAAAATGTAACTGCTGCACCATTTAAGGTGGAACAGGACAGTTCAAACAAGCAGCTGGCGAATGAGAAACTGACTTCAGCTTCACGACTTTTTAGTGTTTGTCAGTTTCTCGTTGCAGATTAAACGTATCAGGAAACCAGCTGGAGTGATTATAAATGTAAATAAGTCTGATCGTCTCCAAATCATCGATGTTCATCTTAAATCTCTCTCTTTGCTGTTTCGTTAGCTACTAGCTAGGACAGATTGTTAAACTGTGTTGAACGATCAGCAGAGCTTTATTTTACTGTAAAGGAGGATTATTTTATTTTTACCTACAAATCTGATTCAGCTGTGGAGCCACAACAGGGCAGTAAAGAGCCGCATGCAGCTCCGGAGCCACATGTTGTCCGACCCCTGCCCTATTCCCTAGGAATATAGGTTTGACACTACTTACTGTGGTGCATTGTGGGATTGTTTGAGTGCACTGAAAAATCTGCATATGTTTTCAGACAATTGGCAAAACCCCAGAATAGTGCACTATATAGTGAATACGGCACTCAGTTTCAGCTTTTATACAGCTCTCTCACAAACCTCAAAATTCAGTTCAGACTTCATTTTTACACTCAAAATAATTCCGTTCTAATGCATTTAAATTCTAATTTCTAATGGCACAAGAGACGAAATATCACAAGGGTGTGTCGTGACTTGAAATCATCCCTGCTTCATTCATAACCTCAGAAATGGGCTTGCAGGCCTGGGCTGGACCAGCGTGACTCATTATTCCACTCCTCAGAGCGAGAGATCTCCTGCCCTGTAACGCGAATCAGCCCCTGCTTCCTCAGAGCTCAGCTTGGGCCCAGAGTGGAGCTTTTGCTTCCAAGTCTAGCACACCTGGACTTAGCAAACGTCTCGTTAGCTATCATCTGCTTTCATTGCACCAGTTTCCACGGGCTGACAGATGACTGTGGTTAGCATGACCCCATCATTGTTGGCTGCGCGCTCGTTCGAGCACATGGGTGGGTGGGAGGACGGGGTTTCCTGTCTCATTTTGAACAAACTATCACCAGAGTAGAGGGGCTTGCATGATTTTTCTTGTCCTAGCTGGGTGCTCTTATCCTGTTTGCGGATGCCTCCTCCTTTGACATGTCCGTCTCTCCCCACAGCGCCAGCCGTCAACCATGAGCCAGGGAACGACCCTCTTCTCCTGTGGAATCATGGGTAAGATTGTGGTGATTTTATTCTTGTTTTCCTGGAAAACGTGGGTGCGCGCATCTTCTCTCGAAGTCGTCACACTTGTGTGCCAAACCGCACTCTCTGCCACTTCACCCCTAAATGGGTCTTTCTCTGTTACCATCCTGGCACTTTCAGCTGACGTTACAGTTTTGTAGATCATGTAAAGTAGCAGCTAAACCGACCTACAAACTGCTGCGACAGTGTAAACCTGCGGAAATATTTTATTGACTACTGTATTTTGATAGAAAATGGCCAGGTGGATGGGGATAATGGAGATCACAGGTTGCTAAGTGCTAATTGTGCGTCTAGAAGCTTGTTGGTTCGGGTCTGGGGTCAGTAAACTGGTCAGATGAACACCTTTTTATCTCGCCGAACAGGGGAGGCACAAGTTGTGCTCGCTGTTACTGCCTATAAAGCCTCAGGCTCCTCGATTAGCGTTTTTTATGCCTTTTTTAGCCTAGCTCTTACTGCCCATAAGGCCTCAGATGCCTTGATTAGGATTTGTCTGCAAGTTTGTTGCCTTAGTTTGTAAGCCTAGCTGTTCCTGCCTGTAAGGCCTCAGAAGCCTTGATTAGAATTTGCCTATAAGTTTGTTGCCTTTGTGTTGTTAGCCTACATGTTACTGTCTACAAGCCTGTGGGCACTTTGATTAAGGATTTGTCTGTAATTTTATTGCCTTAGATTGTTAGCCTAACTCTTTACTGCCTGTAAGGCCTCAGATGCCTTGATTATTTGTCTGTAATTTTGTTGCCTTAGTTTGTCAGTCTACGTGTTCCTGCCTGTAAGGCCTCAGATGCCTTGATTACCATTTGTCTGTAATTTTATTGCCTTAGTTTTGTTAGCCTAGCTGCTAAGTTGCTTCACCTGAAAGCTTTCAAGCGCACTGATTAGCATTCGCCTGTAATTTTGTTGCCGAATTTCAGCCTACAAGCCCTCAGGCGCCGTAATGCTGTTCCTGCCTGCAGGGTGTCGGGCGCCGTCATAGTATTTCTCTGAAAGCAGAATATCTCCAAGATCAGGACGTAGAAAGCAGAGGTGGGACAATAATGGCTGTAGTCTTCGGGTTGAATAAACAAACAAGAGTTTGAGTCCCAAAATGAGATCAATAGGGTTTTGTGCTAGCGTTAGCCTGGCACACGATTGCCGTTGCTGACACATAACCGCGATGCCCACGACGGTGTGCGCTGGTGAGGCTGCCTTTTGTTTGCCCCGTGCCCTGTGACAGGAGCAGTTTTGTTGTTGACTTCAGAAAAATCCCCCGTGTCCCGAGTCGAGCTGCTGCCGCTATTGAGGTCAAGCGCATGCTATTCTCGCCCCGTTTGTAGACGCAGGCGCTCCTCCAGGAAACAGCAGGCCGCATTGGGGGTGGCCAGAGCAAAGGGCTGTTGATGGACCCGTCCACCTGACTCTAGCTTTGATGATGTGTTCGGAGGCAGTGTGGAGAAATAGCCTGTTCTCTCTTAGTCAGGAGTGATACTGAGCCTTTAACCCCTTCAACTGTCAGAGCCTTTCTCCTAGATTAAGCCTAAACTTCGAGAAAAAAGAACTTTCAATAGTGTTTCTTTATCGGCGCTGAAGTTGGGTCCAAGGCGGGGTTCTTCACGGGTTCTTTAGAAAAGAAAACTGTTCTATATACAACCATAAACACTCAAGGAACACTGTGCCTGATTAAAAAGTTCTTTGCATCATGAAATGGTTCTTCAGATTGATGGAGAAATGTGCTAGATGGTTCTAAATAGTGCCTTTTGAATAGGGTTCTATATAGCACCAAAAAGCGTTCTACTGTTGTTTCGATGTGGAGCTTGTTAAAATAGAAGAACCCTTTTTGGTGCTATGTAGAACCGTCTACAGCCTCAATCTGAAGAACCGTTTCACAATGCAGAGAGTTCTGTGTGTTCATGGTTCTATATAGACATTTTCTTACTGAAGAACCCTTGAAGAACTATTAAATTCTAATAAATACAGATATTAAAGATCAGTTTCCAAATAATTACCTAATAGTTAATAGTACTTAGTTACTTAAAGGGGAATTCCACAAAATATTTTAAATTTCTGAATAACTCAGTGTGTGAGGTGTAATCAGAGTCATTCAGAGTGGTTTGGTGTGAAATGGTTCAGATGTCTTTACAGTGGTGGTGATAGGAACCAGGGGTCGCCATGACTACAACACAAATATAGACATTTTATTTACTATCCAGAACCACCAGTGAACCTACACGAATTTTAATATTTATAATGTTGATGGTCAAACAGTGTTTTGCCTTATAAGGTATTAAACGCTTGAGACGTCTGGTTCCTATCACCACCATTGTAACTCTGTCTGAAAGCGTATCACATCAAACCACTGTGAATGACTTCATCTTAACCGTTTATTTATGCAGAAATTTTGAAAAATGAGTGGAACTTCTCCTTTAATACTAAGTCTCAAGACTAATCCATTTAGCATCTTTGCATATTCATATCTGAAGGCTTGTTATTTGGTAACTGCATGGAAAAGAGAGCAGAATGATTGAGTTGTTATTAAATTATGGGAAGCTTTAGATGGTTAACTGAATGTTAAGCCTAGAGTTAAAATAGCAGCCCTGGGCTTCTTGGCTTTGAACCCTGACCTAGATAACAAAGAGTTCTCCGAAAATCATCACGATACAAAAAGCAGATGTGTGCTTTGGTCGTGCTAGGGCTGTCCGTCACCAAGCTGTTAGCCGTTGAAAACCGGGAGGAGCTATGGCTGAAAGTTGGGAGAGCTTTTATTTTTCACTTCTGCTGTTGGATTCACGTTTCAAGTGCAGCTCATGCAACCCAAATGCGGCGAATACGTCAGATCATGCATATATGTAATATGAGTGTTTTAGATTTGTTTTGTTAGTAAGGCTCACGTGCCCAGACTCCTACAGACCTAGTGTGTGTATATTGTGATGAAACCCCTCTGCTGGTCTTGGCTCCCTGCCACAATCAGCCGCTGCTATTCCTGGCTCTTTGTTTTGCAGGCCTCAGTTTCACTGGGCCGTCTGACACGGCTGGCTAAGGACGCTTCCTTTCGTCTCCGCCACCTTTCCGTTACTCTTGTCCACTCCTATGATATCACCCTCTTCTTGAAGGCATGGTGTGGTGAAACTTACTTGAATTTAAATTCGTGTGAGTTGCACAATGAGTTGCATAATGTAAACCATCCTGGAACTCACTTGAAACTCAGCCGCAACAGTTGCAAGTATCTCAACTTCTTGAAATGAGTCTCATGAAACAGCTACTTAGAATGCCCGTAACGCATCACATCGAACAACAGTTGATTTCACTGAATCAGTAGACAAGACTTCACGGAAGGTTGTTAGTTTATAACTGTAACCATAACTGTAACGGCTACTTAAACATTATTTTTCAGAGGCTTAACTTACATACAGCAGATAAAAGCTCAAATTCATGGTAAATAACCTTAAATACATGATAAAAAAGACTAGAAAAAAAGGCAGTGACAACTGAAAAATATATATAAAGATGATAAAATGATGTTTAAATTGCACCTACAGCTAGTTGTGTTAATTACAACCACAGGCAACTTTGTTCTTGATGCTTTGTGTAACTGTCAAGTTGCATGGAAATTATGCTTAACCTACAACAGTGGTAAATAACAGAAAATGCCTAGATAAAAGATGTATAGATATAGAAAAAAGGCAGTGATGGCTGAAGTGTGTGTATGCCTGTGTGTGTAATATATTATATTATATATATTATAATATATATATATATATATATATATATATATTATTATATTGTGTGTATATGTGTATTATATATATATATATATATGTGTGTGTGTGTATATATATATATATATATTATATATACACCCACAGATGATAAAAATGCTATGAAAAAATATGTAAATTACACCTGTTAATGTTAATACAACTAATAAAAAATGTTGCGTGCAACTTTTGAGTTGCTTCGTATAAATGTCAAGTTGCATAGAGATTATGTTGAGGCAACTAACAAAAATTTTAACTTGTACAGCCAATTTTACACGTAGCTCAGATTCATTTGTGATCTTAATGATAAATGATCAGAGGCTTCAGTTAATTTGTTGTGCTTCCAGGACAAAATGAGTGAGACACCAAGTAGCCTGTAACTTTTACAGCTGCTTAAACATTAATTTTCACGTGCTTTACTTACACTCAACAGATAAAAAGTCAAATTAATGGTAAATAACCATAGATACATAGATAAAAGACATTACAAAAAAGGTAACGAGAGCTGAAAATGTATACAAAAATGATAAAAATGCTACAACTGTGTAAATTACCCCTGCAACTAGTTGTGTAATTACAGTTAATGGAAAATGTGTTGCATGCAACTTTCGAGCAGCTTCGTGTAACTGTCAAGAAGCATGGAAATTGTTGCAGGCAACTCACAACGTGCAACTAGTTGCATAAAATTTCACCTTGTACAGCCAGGGTAAAGATGGAATGACATTCACTGAAAGCCTGATGCAGCATTCCAGCATTCTAAGAGGAGAGAAAAGTAAAAACTACACTGTAAAACTGTTATTATATAAATATTATGGCATTTTCATAACACAGCACAATATTTCGTTTTTCTGAGGTTTGACAAGTTGGAACAGTCAGAACCACTTAAGCTACATTAAAGAAATCCTAGTGCAGTGATTTATTCAACATGCAGCGCTGCACTAAATCCAGTTAAACAGGACTCATTATGCTCTCTTTGTAATGGAACTTGCAGTTGATCGGTGTTCTTTAAAGGAGAACTCCACCAGTTGTTCAAAATTTCCTTGTAATTAAATGGTTGAGATGTGAACAGAGTGGTTCAGAGTGGTTTGGTGTGAAACGCTCTGTTCTAGAGAAACACAGTGAAATTGTTCACAGTGGTGGTGATAGGAACCAGACGTCAGAAGAGCTTAATGCCTCTGAAAGCTACATCGAAGGGCACTGTGAGGCAAAACAGTCACCAAAGAAAACTGACATTTTTCACATTTATTACCATCATCATCATCATCATCATTCCACATACACTCAGAAGACTCGTGTAGGGTCACTGGTGGTTTTGGATTGTATGTCTATATTTGTGTTGTAGTCATGGTGACCCCTAGTTCCTATCACCACCACTGTAAAGACATCTGAGTCAGCAAGTTTCTATATAAAGAGCAATTTCACACCAACGCTGAATGATTTCAGTTGATGACAAATTTTGAAACATCAGTGGAATTCCACTTCAAGTACTGTTGATATCCAGTACGCTCAGAAAAGGCTCATAATGAGACAGTTTATCACCATAGTGATATTGCCATATTGCCCACCTTTAACCATGGGTTACCAGTGAACTCTTTGGTTAAAGGTGGGCAATATGGTAATATCGCTATGGTGATAAACTGTCTCGTTCAGTTATTAGTTAACATTGTCTTTGGGGCTTTCAGTGTAAAACTAAAGAAGCAAACCTCAGACGTTAACCTTGTCTCAGCTGATTGACTACTTTGGACATAAGAGGGGAAACTGTAAAGTTGATTCTTTCTTCTTTTTTTAATGAAATGCATTTGAAGCATGGTAGATAAAGGTCTGTGCTAACACATGATTCATATGCTCAGAAAAAGCAAAACACCATCGCATGCCTAAGATGCAACCTAAGCAGGAAACCTGGTAATTGCAGCACATGCCAGGACAAATATCTGAACATGCTATGGAGCACAACGGCCGTCAGAAACAGACAGACGGTTCTGGTTATACCGCTTTAGCTCTGCGTCCTTAATCCAGTATGAATCTGCAGTGTGTGTAGTTTTTACAGTCTGACTGTAATAATTGTGGAGTGATTTTAATCCAGTATGAATCTGCAGTGTGTAGTTCTACAGTAATAATTGTGGAGTGATTTTAATCCAGTATGAATCTGCAGTGTGTAGTTCTACAGTAATAATTGTGGAGTGATTTTAATCCAGTATGAATCTGCAGTGTGTGTAGTTTTACAGTCTGACAGTAATAATTGTGGAGTGATTTTAATCCAGTATGAATCTGCAGTGTGTGTAGTTTTACAGTCTGACAGTAATAATTGTGGAGGGATTTAATCCAGTATGAATCTGCAGTGTGTGTAGTTTTACAGTCTGACAGTAATAATTGTGGAGGGATTTAATCCAGTATGAATCTGCAGTGTGTGTAGTTTTACAGTAATAATTGTGGAGGGATTTTAATCCAGTATGAATCTGCAGTGTGTGTAGTTTTACAGTAATAATTGTGGAGGGATTTTAATCCAGTATGAATCTGCAGTGTGTGTAGTTTTACAGTAATAATTGTGGAGTGATTTTAATCCAGTATGAATCTGCAGTGTGTAGTTTTACAGTAATAATTGTGGAGGGATTTTAATCCAGTATGAATCTGCAGTGTGTGTAGTTTTACAGTCTGACAGTAATAATTGTGGAGTGATTTTAATCCAGTAGTGCGTTTAGTTTAATGCTCTTTTTTATGCTGTTTATGCTGTTTCAGAGACGGGCCGGTGGCCAGATGTTAGCCGTGGCTGTGGTGTTCGGCAGAGGCCGGTGGGCTCGAGCCTGGAGAGTTTGTGGGACGTCCTACCGGAGACCGGCCCGGCGGGGGCCATCAGCGGCCTGCTGCGGGACCTCAGCCTGAGTGAAGCTCCGAACACCACCACAGCACCACCCAGCAAACGACAGTGCCGGTCACTCTCCTGCTCGGATGAGCCGGCCAGCTGCCGGTCTCCATGGCGACCGCAGGGTTCGCGGGTGTGGACGACGGTGGAAAAGCGCCGTTGCCACAGCGGAGGCAGCGTTCAGCGTGGATCTGCCTTGTCCTCGTCCGCTTTCACCCAGTCTGGCTTCTCCGGCATGCAGCGCAGCTCCAGCTTCAGCCTCCCCACCCGCTCCAACCTGCTGGAGCTGCCGGCTTTTAGCAACTTTCAGCGGCAGACTTTCACTCCTTTCTCTGCCGTGGTCTCCGAATCCCCCCGCTACCTCTCTCATGAACAGATTTCCCAGGCTGAGCCCAGCGGCGGACCCTCAGAGGCCAGTTCCCCGGACTCCACTCCGGAGCTGGACCGCCGGGCCGGCCAGGGTGGACTCTCCCGCAGCCGCTCTCAGCCCTGCGTCCTTAATGACAAGAAAATCGGAGTGAAACGCCGGAGACCAGCCGATTCGCACAAACATAGGCCATCTTTAGACCTGGCCAAGATGACCCAGGTAAGATATTGGGCTTCAACTCATGATTATTTTCTATAAGCAGATAATCTATCAGCTTTTATGGGTATTAGCTATTATACTAATCTAACTACTGTGCTTTTTACACTTACCCTGAGGTTGTTTTTAAACGAAACAATAGAAGCCATATCGCCCCCTACACTTCCTGTAGTGTATTACAGTCTGTCAGAGTGACTGTGTGGATCATATGAACATTATAGAGGCTTTTTAAATGAAACAGTAGAAGCCATATCGCCCCCTACACTTCCTGTAGTGTATTACAGTCTGTCAGAATGACTGTGTGGATCATATGAACATTATAGAGGCTTTTTAAATGAAACAGTAGAAGCCATATCGCCCCCTACACTTCCTGTAGTGTATTACAGCCTGTCAGAATGACTGTGTGGATCATATGAACATTATAGAGGCTTTTTTGAAATTTAAGCTATTTTCATAATTGTAGATGTCTACTAACCTTTGAGTACCTAATAAGACTGGTAAAGGGTGTGGGTTTGTTTTAAAGGAAGAGTAGTGAAAGAAGTGAGTCACAGCGGAGATAGATGTGGAACAACATTGTGGTTTGACACAGTTTCTGTCTTTTTTTCGTTAGAAGAAATCTAAAATCTTAACCCATAGAAGCCTAGAGGGATTACTGTCACAGTAATTACATGATTACTTACATAATTATACTTTTGTTTATGTTTTTGACACGTTTGATTCTTCACTTCTGATTTTTTTTTATCTATGTTTTTCTGGCAGAAATATAAAGGACGCTTTTTCTTTTCTCAAAACACGACCACACACAGCAGAACCTTATCATCAGATTCAAACACTAATGTGGTAAAGACTAAAGTTTAGAATCTGAAATTTCTGCTTGTTTCAATGAGCTGAAAGTCAGACGCAGTTCATAAGATTATGACATGCCTTTGTCATCGCTGGCGATGGTTATGACTTCTGTGGGTTAACTGTTATTCTTGCAGATATATAGGTGCCGTATTCAGTGTAGTTGAAGGTTGCGGTTGTGCAGTGTGTTGAGCGTCCGTCCACATGTTCTCCTGCACTCTGCTGTGTGCTGTAAGCCTCTTATAGACCACTGTTAAACGTTCTACGTGAAGCCTCTAACTCGGCTTCACTCTTTAAGGTCTAAAGTGCAGAGAGAATCGCACCTCGCCCATGCCACTTTGACTCATCATCACCTACACCCTATAGATGCTCCTTTCCTGTTCCACAGTTGAAGGATTCGCAACACAGGATGAGTCGTTGTGGGTCACTGAACGGAAGCTGAGAAAACTGATTTAAGACAGACCCCTGTTAATGCCGCCGTGTCGTTATTAGCACAGAACCTGATGTCACATTCATAACGTTTGCAAGCTGGAGCTTGTAGGGAGCACGATATGGACAAAATAACATATGATCTTATGCTCGTAGGTGAATTTCTGGATTTTCATGCTCAAATCGTAAGGCAAATTATTCAGTAACTGCATGAAGTAGATGTAATTTTTTATTTTTCTAAAAATTTCTAAAAGTTTTCCTCAAATTAACAGAAAATGTGTTTTTATGATCGTAAACATAATGGCATATGCTTACAATTTGCTGCTGAAAGCCAAAAATCTTAGACACTCTTTGTATTATTTTATAAAAGTAATTTTTACAGAGCAGATCACTGAAGAGACGCCATCTGAGATCCAGTTTACAGCTCAGATTTGTGGAAAAATGGGTCAAATTTCAGTAGAAAAAAATTTGATGTTCAGCTTCTTTTATTATAAGGGTGTAAAATTACATCACCCATCTATCTGACTGAAAGGAAGACAGTTACAGTCTCATACGACCCCCACCTTTAGAATGTAGCTTATGAAATATGAAAGTTATGAAGTAAAGAATATGACAAAGTGCTTTTTGAAACAACCGGTGGTTCCACAGAGTTAAAAAGGATACATTGATACATATTGTGATTTTGACATGCTTTGTAATATATTAAACACGCAATGTGGCGTGGTTAAAGATTGGCCTTCATGATTTTAGTGTTTATTGTTTTGTTCTGAGGTGTTATTTATATTTGTTCTCTTTTAATCAGACGATTTATGTGACTAAATGAAGCTAATTAAACTGCCTGTGTTCACGTGAAGTAAAGTTTTTAGGTTTGTAGGAACTGACCAAGCATTTTTGCACTGTCTGTGTTTACATGCAAAGATTTTCTCCAGTCTGATTGATTACATTCCGATTATAGATTCAGACTGAGGTGTTTATTCTCACTCTGCTCAACAATCTGATGAAAATCTTCATTTTCATGCTCACTACAAGTAATCAGATCCAAAATGACGCTCATGTGTAGAGAACCACTTACTGTAGACGTTACCATGACAACCAGCATCACGTGAGTCCAGTCAGAGTGAGATGAGCAGCAGTGAGCAGCGCTTGTGTTTTTAATCACTTTAAAATGATGTCAGACTCAGGAAAACGTCCTTCACATGTCCTTATTAAAGAAGGCAGAGAGGAAGACGTCGTGTTCTGAGACACATAAGCTGGACGTCCGTCCCACCGCCGTCTTTTAAAGACCAGAGCATAAACTTCGTCTCCTCTGCAGACCAGTTTCTGCTCCGCCATGTTGAACGGTATAAACTCTCACTATGACGTGGCGAACATGATCAGAACGGACTTAAACTTTCCGATAGGGAATGTAATCAGATACAGGCGTTTACACGGATATTATTCTTCTATTTAACGGATTATTTACAGGATTACCCACCTCGATCAGTCGGACAGAAACTGTATTCCAAATGGCCTCAATAAGACTAGTCTATTGTGGCTTTTATGATTGACATTGGTTTCCATGAAATATACTAAATAAGAGACAAACAAGGGCGTTTTGGTGATAGTTTTACATTCCCAGACACTATTTTTAAAAATTAAAACGACTGACTTTGTTACACCCTCACTAACAGATACATCAGTGGAAACTGATCCTAGATCAGAGTCCAGAGGATTTCACCATGAATACAGTCCCAGGTGTAGAGCAGGGGAAGCAGATGGCCCATCTGGACAATACTGTATGTCAGTAGAGCGACCCTGTATGGAAATATACACTTCTAGATGTATCCGTTCACAGTGGATGGATATATTTTTGGCCTATAGTACACATTACAAAGAGGTCGTACATGTACTTTGTACAGCGTCTGCAGCTTTCCACAGTTTAAAAACGAGCATATTTTACCGTTTACTGTAACGGTGTCTTATTTATCGGGCACTTTAGATTGAATCGTTCTTTAAAAACAGTCATTTGAAAAATAGCATGTTTATGTATGCAAATGTGCTTTATATCTGTTTTTCAGTGCTGTATTTGCAGATTTAAATCACACTTATTTTCTATCAAGCCAGCTCTTTTTTTCATAAAAAGCACTGCTGTGTCTGATCCACTCAGACCAGCGCAACACACACTAACACACCACCACCACGTCAGTGTTACTGCAGTGCTGAGAATGACCCATCACCCAAATAGTACCTGCTCTGTGAGGGTCCATGGGGGTCCTGACCACTGAAGAACAGGGTAAAAGGGGGCTAACAAAGTATCAGAGAAACAGATGGACTACAGTCTGTAACTGTAGAACTACAAAGTGCACCTATATAGTAAGTGGAGCTGATAAAATGGACAATGAGCGTAGAAACAAGGAGGTGGTCAGAATGTTACGCCTGATCAGTGTGTGTGTATGTGTGTGTGTGTGTGTGTGTGTTTGTATATGTACCTTTATGTATTTGTGCACAGAGAACTGTGGTTTCTCACTGTAACTGTATTTCTTGCCCTCTGAGCTGACAGATCTGATCGTTAAGCAGTATCGTTTACACTGTTGTTTATTGGTGCACCTTCATCTGAGGGTGGTTTACACGTCAGCATAAACATTAGCCTGAGGGCAGCATGTGGGCAAAACGGAGGGTCCAAAGTCAACCTTTCAGCCCTGAGGCAGGACGAGTTTCACACCTCCATAAACACACTTTCGTTTTTGTTCTAGTTCAGCAGTGAGACTCAGTTCATCTCCTGCCTCATCTGAGCCTGAAAGGCATGAAGCTGAGGGGTAAACAGGTAGAGAATCCTGCCAATCTGATGGAATATGATTGAACACGCTTCTTTCTTTTTCGCTTGCAGTGGAGTGAAATACACCGTCCCTGAACAGTTCGAGGACACCTAGCTTTTTAAAGGGAAATTCCAACAGTTTCCAAAACATTTTTTCCGGATTATTCCGAGTATTTTGATGTGAGTCAGTACAGTGGTTATATATGTGTTGTCGACATTGTGATCCTGGTTCCCATCAGCACCATAAATAGAAAAACTAAATATAAACTGACCCTAACAGTAACATTGCGTATTGGGAAAGTGTTTTAATGTTTTTGCTGTACTCTTGCATCTAAAGCGAGACCAGTTCGTGGCTCACTCTAGAACACCGGTTCCACTACCCCTACGACACTGAGTTCTGTGTTAAAGAAAGGGGAAGTGGAAAAACTGCTTCACAGAGGTGTGTTTTGGGACAACCACCAGTGGTTTCAGTCATTTCAGATGATAAGCACAGTACAGAGAATGAAACACTTAAGAGTGGGGGCTGTACTGAACTGTTCAAAGGTTAAGACAGGGAGCTGGTATTGTTATCAGTGCTCTGCATCAGCAGGTACTTCAGTTTCAGTTCTTTTATGAGTGTAAGCTGTCAGGGGAGGGGCTACAAGTTTAATTTAAGTGTTGTCTTTTTTTCACTCTACATACAGATGTGAAATGTTTGTAACCATGTGTTAAACACCTTCATCCCCTCCTCTACCACATGTGCCATTCTGGGCGGTTGTCATAATAATAATAATAATAAAATAATACATAATAATAATAATAACAATCTGCATTTAAAAGCAGCAGAGAAGCAAAGAAACGAGGTAGTCAAATAAAACAGTAAAATCAACTGATAAGATACAAATAAAAGCAATGACGACAAAGAGAAGAATAACAGATACACACAAAAACAGTTAAAGTGCCCATATCCTGCGTTTCTCTTGTATTTTACTTTCTTTTATAAAAGTTTGATGTAGTTTTATGCAGCAAAATGGCCATAAATCATTTGTATATGACCATTTTCCAGCCTCTCGTGAGCCCTTAGAATTAAACAGGCTGTTTTTGTTACTGTGCTTTTAAGACTGATCTGTGTAAATGATCTTTCTTCTGATTGGCTGTCCTATGTTGGGCCTCAGTCCGGGCTGAAACACTCCTTATAACTTCAGCACGAATGGTCAGGGGCTGAAGTTCTGAAGGCTGAATAGCTGGGAGTTTTTTGTGACGTCACGGAAACATTGAATTCAAAACGGGCTGTTTTTGCAGTTCGTATCCGCTGATGGGCTGCATGGAGTGGAGAGGTGTGATCTGAAACTTTAACAATGGTTAGAAATTACTTGAAAACTACTTGGTGCAAAACTTTTGTCCACGATATGGGGGATAGGTAGACAGGTAGGTAGGTAGGTAGGTAGGTAGGCAGACAAGTAGGTAGGTAGGCAGACAGGTAGGTCGGTAGGTAGATACTTTATTGATCCTGAAGGAAATGTAGAAGCCAGTATCAGTCACACAACACAGCACAGTTATAATAATAAGGATGATACAATAGAAAAAGAGTAAATAGAAAAAAACTACCTACAGGCATATATAGAACTAAAAATATACAAAAATATGCAATAATATCTATAACCTGAGATAAAAAAGGCAGTGCAATAATGACTGTACAAGGAGCGTTTGGAGGGTCATGTAGTCCTAACACTTCACCCTACCCCTCCATCTCAAGAATCAGGACACCCTACCCCTAGATGAGAGCGCTCAAAATGGAGCACTAAGGGCTGAGTGGTAGGGGCGAGGGGTGAAATGGGACTGGGCCGAAGTCCAGGGCTTTTTTGCTTTTTTTTTTTCTCTCTATTTTGTGGAGCTGTTGTATATAATCAATAAAACACTCGCGGTTGTACGTCACAGCAAATAGTGATCTGTTCTACTCGTGGCTGCTTTCAAACCACAGCCGTGATGTTATTTGCCGTAACGCACCTCCTCTTGTGTTCTCTTGGTCGACTATACACAGGTTGTTGTGGTTGTTGTTGTGGTTGTTGTTGTGGTTTTTGTGCTCTCTATAATTTCTTATTTTTTTAATGATCTGTGCAGCTGTTCAGTGTTCTAGCTGCACTGACCAAATCCATCATATACTCACATCTGCGCACCGTGACGTAATTTATCATGTCATATAGTCTTATCGCATACTGCTCACCCCTAATGAGTTAAACAGTTAAAAAGACCTACTGACCGCTGATGTAGATCTACTGGTGACACCCAGACACACCCAGTTCATTTGAGATAAGAAGCAGAAAACACGTCACTCACTCGGTGTAGTTTACAGCACCTTTATGACTCCTAGCTGTGTAATGATGCATCGGAATGAAGGTGGTGATTCACCTGCATCGATTC